TGTGAGCGCCGGAAAACGCCTTCATGCAATAAATCTCAGATGTTTGGTAGGCTGAATTGACTGAAATTTTTTTGTTTTTTTCTTGTGGCCAGCCTTCAGTTTATTCACTCGGTGAGCATTGGCTTTTCTTGATCAGTTGCTGCTGCAATGAGTTGGTTTTTGTTTTCCTGTTTTGTTCCTGTTGTTGATGTTTCTGGTAGCCCTCAAGTGGTTGATGGTACAGAGTGTCTTGTGTGGCCCTGTGTTGCCTCGGACTGGCTTCTCTAGGTGTGGTCGGGGCACTGGGACACTTCCTTTTGTGTGTCCCTTTTCCACTTCCTTTTGTGTGTCCCTTGCTTAGACTAGTGAGTGCAATGCCCACCTGAAGTTTAGTCTAAGGTCCCAGCTCTCAGATAACTAAACTACTTTGTTGTTTACTTTCCTCCACCTCCTCCCCCTCCCCAACCCCTCCTCTGTCCTTCTCTCTTTCTGTCTTTCTATCTCTTCCTCTTTCTCATCATTTCTCTCTTTCTCTTTCTTTTTTTTTCTGCCACTGTGTAAATATTAACCAGGGTCTACTAATGGGACTGATCTCTTTCAAAAGGCCAATGTGACTTTATGTTTTCTACTCTCATATTTTGAAACATGATTGACATGAGTCTCTTTCTCTGGTCAGCCATTTCAAAGGTCGTATCTCACTTTTTCGTTACTGTAGCAGGGACAAAATGTTCACTTGAGCATGTTAGCAGTAAAATCATAATGCTAAATCAGTGAGAGGCTTGGACGGAAGAGGCCTGGGTCAGGGGAATTACATATGTGCTCATGAGGGCTTGATGAATGGTGGAGGAGAGCGCACTTCTACTGACAGGGTCAAATTTCCCCTGATGCGGTATTAAAAACATGTTTCTTTGTTGTTTTCTTTGAAAATTTAATTTTCCATCTTTCTTCCATTAAAGGGCATATGATTTTGTGTGCACTTTGTCATTTTATTCTTTCAACCGAGTACGAAAGTGAGGGTCTGAATTTTTAAAGGTAAAGCACTTACATGTGCTGGGGGGGAAAAACCATTTTCAATAAAAGTGCTGTTAGCTCGTTTGCTCTTTCATAAACTTCAATTTCAAATTATTTTGTTCCCATTAAAATTCTGTATGAATAGATAGTAGTAAGAGGTGTAGCCTACATGTTTGTACCTGTCCACAAAACATCATGACTAGTGTAAGATTGAAAACGATAATCTCTCATTACAGCGAAAGTGAAAAAGAGAGTAAGTAAATTTCCGTGGACTAACTCATTTGGTTTTGAGAATTTTCTTTTGCTATATTTGGCATGAGCCTCCTAACTGAAGCTTCAGAAGTTTGTTAAAAATTTGCTCTTGGTTTTTCGCTTGCTAAACTCTTGACCCTGCATCTTTCACCTGCTGGTTTCTCTTTCCACCATGAGACATGGGTCATGATCACAGAACACAGTGCTGACCCCCTACTGCATTCTGCCTGACACATACTCTTCCGGTGCCTGTTTTATATTACTATATTAGTACTGTGCTTTATAGTTCGTTTTTACTTGGAGACTTTATTCATGTCCTTTATTAAATCTTGCTCATAAATGAAAAGAAAGGGTATTTTTTGGCCTATTGTTGTATTTTATAGGATGTACCCATTTCTTTGACCATATTTTTACATGATTAGAGATTTTTTAAGTTTTAGGTTGAATTTCGTCCCAATCAATCCCCCCCCCCCCCATACCTCATGGCGGCCTTGTTTCCCTCCTTTTTTTTTAAAGATAATTTTTCCCTGTATGAATAGTTAAAGCTAGATCTGCTTTGGCTAACTTTAGGTAACTTCTCTATGGAAGGCATAAAGATTTAAGTGACAATACTTTAATTTTAATGATTAATCACGTTGACTGACACTCTTAAAACGCAGGCTTTTTCACGCTTCGTTTTTCCTGTATTTGTCCTGGTTTGACATATTGTCTGGCAGGACTTTAGTTTCTCTTTTGAGCTTTACTACTAACAAGTCGACCCACTGAATGCCCGCTTTGTTGACCCTTTGACCCTTGCTGTCTCCACTGGCCATTGGTCTCCAGACAACATGCACAATAATGAATGAAATGATATTGGATGCAAGGATATTGAATGCAACACTAGTTTAGGATGAATAATCTCGGGGGGACTGCATGGCATCTGGCAAATGTATGAGTGAGTGGGGGGTTTGAGTTGTTTCGTTGTACAGTCGCGCAATGGTTTTTAGAATTGTATTTTACAGTCATGATTTTATTCACACAAACACACACTTACTAACCAGTTATCCAAGTAAGTAAACACACGCTTACATGGACGTACACACATAGATGCACGCGCGCACATGCATATACACACACACACATGAATACATACTGTTTTTTGTTGTTGTCACATGTATGCGTTAACTCTCACATGTAGACACACACTCTCTCTCTCTCTCTCTCTCTCTCTCTCTCTCTCTCTCTCTCTCTCTCTCTCTCTCTCTCTCTCTCTCTCTCTCTCTCTCTCTCTCTCTCTCTTTCTTTTCTCTCTCTCTCTCTCTCTCTCTCTCTCTCTCTCTCTTTCTTTTCTTTTTCTCTCTCACACACAAAGCATGATACTTCATGAGAGACACAGAGGATAACGGAATGCCAATCAGACTGTGAGAGGAAAGCCGGACATCAACAAAAATTGAAGCATTTGGACCAACCTCTTCTGTGGTTGATGTATACAGTGACCAACCTCTTCTGTGGTTGATGCATACAGTGACCAACCTCTTCTGTGGTTGATGCATACAGTGACCAACCTCTTCTGTGGTTGATGCATACAGTGACCAGCCTTTGTCATCAGCACCATATATATGCCATGGAATTTCTTTCTTTTTTTTCTTCTCCTTAGTAGTGACCACCTAGTTACTTAACGAAAATACTGTTGACTGACGATTGCTGTTGTCCCCGTCGGAACTATTTTCTTCCTTTCAGTTAGTTACCTATTTTTACTAGTTTTTTTTTATCTCTTCATTTTTTTAGTTAGGATTCCTTCTTAGCACTGTTGACTGATCTTTTTTCTATGAGCCAGTGAGTCTGGTAAACTGTAGTGCTTTATTGTATAACTTTGTTATTTGCTCTTTATTTATGATTGAAAATCAAAGTTACATTGTGGCTGTTTGCCCAATTAAGTTTTTGAATATTTTATTTATGTATACTCATTCATTAATGATGTCCATGGTGAGCTCTCCTGAGAGTTATGAGTGTTTTAAAAAACAACAGCTTTAGCACCCTACCAGACACATATGTCTTATTTAAGCTTTGGAGTTCAAGTGTGTTGTCCAGCCAATAGAGGGTTACTCCTCCTGCTGATATGTAGTGTGTTTATTATTTTTTAAACAGAGTAGAAACATGTTATAAATAGGTATGTGAACAGCTCTTGTACTAGATGAACTAGATTAAGTTCTGTGCTGAAGGGGAAGGGCGGTGATTGGCCACTGTGAAGTGCGTCAAGTGTATGATTCAGTGGGACTGAGTAGATTAGGGGAGAGGCCCATGCAGCGTAGGCAGACATACAAAACAACTGAATGTTTCAGCAGCTCTGCCTAAAGGTTTGACAGAAATGTAAGTTAAGCTTAGAAAATACTATTTCTTTGTTATTTCTATCTGCTTGGCTCTTACTGCAGAATTTCAGAATGTTGTCTTACTACACAAAAATTTTATTTTTTTGTAACAATTTTAAAAGAAGGAATATTGTGTAATATCTGGAGCATAACTGTCATATCACTTTTTCACTGCAAATGCTTACACATAGTAAAAAAAAATTTTTAATGCATGTGAAAAATATCACTTGAGTTCCTTCTGTATCATACTACTTTGACTTGCCAACACTTGTACTGTACTTATTATAATATATTGTACACAGTGTCGTATGATATGGGAGTGTAACATATATGAGACAGAAGCATGCAAGCTGCCCTGCTGATTATATCAAGGGATGTCTGCCCTGGTCATGTACAGTATCATCTCTAACCTTCCACTGACAACAGTGCTGTTACATTCCCTCCTTCCTTTCGTGTTGTTCTGACAATGTGTCCGATATTTGCTAATAGTACCTCTTTCCTGTGACTACCGAGGGTGGCGTCTCCGTTTCCTACCCCTATATGAAGTGCATGCTGGTCTTGCTTCTATCTAACTTTGCGTACATGGCCTCTGTGGGGGCTCCTGTATGGAACCACTTCCCTAAAACTTGGAAATAATTGCGATATTTTCCCTTGTGTAATGCTGAAGAATGCCCATTAGGTCTCGATCAGGTCATAGAATAAGGTTCTTGTTTCAGGTAAAGAGTTTAAAAAGTTGCAAATATGATAACAATTTGGATGTGTTCATTCATGCCTTGATTTTACCCAGAGTATTTGTACAATGTGAAAACGTGTTCCCAAAACAGCAAAATGTCAACCCTAATTTCTTCTCCACTCAGAACATTACACAATTACTTAGATGTGAGCTAAAAAATTCACCATATTTTGACCATACACCATATGTACTTGTTTTTTTAGTTATTGTGATATTTTAAAAATGTATGTGTGTTTCTTTGGTGAAAGTGAACTCCATAAAACGAAAATTAGTCCTTTATTCATAATAAAAAAATAATATGTTAGTATTTTATTTTTTAGCAGTAAGACACAGAAGTTGTGATAAAGAAGGTTATTATTTTAGTTTCATAAAGTGACGTTATCGTTGCTTTTTCTCATAATTTCATCAAGTCTGTACTGTTACTGTGTGTAGCATTTTGTTGGTATTGGGTAAACATGTATACGCTTGATTTATGCTCAGATTAGTATGTCGTGTACAGCTATATCCCCCTATCCCGCCAGAATTTTTTTCTTGAGTTATTAGGCCTTGTTTAGAGAGGTTTGTATTTGAAAAGCAAAGACTGTGAAATTCTTTGAGTCACAAGTTGTGTCATTGTTTAGCGTTCTTTCTTTATAGTATACTGATTGTTTGCTGTTGTTTTCTTTCCCAACACTCAGAATTTCTCCGTCTCCCAGCAGTCACCAAGGGACACCATCTAGACTCAGTTCACAGGACGAGCGATTGAGGACATCTTTCTCGGAGATTGGTGGCCTCAGCTTTGAGGAAGTCACCCGTGACGAGATAGATGACATGTAAGTGGATTTGTGGCTTGGTGTGTTTGCCCGTATGTATGTAAGTTTGTATGAGTGTGCCTGTGAGTGTGTGTAAGTGTGTCTATGTGCTTTTTGCTCAGAGTGTATACCTAGTGTGTGAACAGGAGATTTTCTATTATTTTCTTTCTTACCCATGCATGAACTACAATGGCTAAGGCTAGTTTCAATAATATGAGCCCAATCCTGAAAAATAGAAACATCTCAATGAACACCAAAATGAAAGTCCTGAAATGCTATGTTTGGTCAACCCTTCTATATGGCTGTGAATGCTGGACAATCACTAAAGACAGTGAAAATAAAATAGAAGCAACAGAAATGTGGTTTCTTAGGAGACTGCTAAGAGTATCACGGAAGGAAAAGAAATCAAATGAGGTAGTGCTTGATGAAGCCCACGTGGGACGCTCAATGTTAAAAACAATCAGGAAATGACAAATGCAGTTTTTGGGACACCTGAATAGACATAAGGGTTTTGAACATCTAGCTCTCACTGGCAAAATTGAGGGCAAGCGAGGCAGGGGTAGGCCCAGAACAACATACTTAGGGAACCTAAAGAAATGGGTAACAGGAAAAGATCAGGGAAACGTAGCTTTTTTGAGAGCATCCGAGCAAAGGAATGAATGGAAAACCATGATCGCCGATGTCTGTCGCAGATCTGGCACTGGATGATGATGACCCATGCATAGCCGAAAGGGCCAACATAATTTAGGAGGGGAATACAAACAAATATGTGCTATTATTCTTATTATGTTTCTTCAAACCAAACATGTTTTTAGGTCTGAGATTTCTCTCCTATATGGTTAATGAATTTGAGAAATTCTTTTGGTTGGTATAATTTTTTTTGTTTTAATGGTAGGAAAGTAGAAATTTAGTGTGGGAGATCAACTTTTCCTACAATGAGAGTGTGAAGGATTCTTTTAAAGTGTTTATAGTAGGGTATATGTTCGTAAGAAGAGAAAGTGATTGAATTCAGATGTCACCTATTCTGAAAACATTGTCTTTGTGTCAATTGTACATTGTTTTCTTTAGTCTTACCAAAACGATAATGTGGGATAGAGCATACATAACATTCAAAATGTTTCTGTTTCTTAATGATTCTTATGTTTGGTTTGAAATCATGATGAGTAAAAAACTATTTTTTGACTGTGTTAACTTAAATTATAATTGCAGTGTAATGAGATGATTTTATTTATCTATAACATTTTCCACAACAGCAGTTTTGTAATACAGAAGAATAACCAGGATATACATGGATGAATTTTTTAAAATTATTCATTTATTTTTTTTACTTTCCTGTCTGGTTTCCTCAGATTACCAAAGACAGAGTACACATATGCAAGAACGTAAGTCAGTACATTCACTTGTGTATGTGTTCTACCTACTATACCGTATTTTGTGCCTGGTTTCAGTGTTACTATCAGTTGCTTTAGAGAAACTAAACCTTGTGGACTCCTTTCAGTTTGCTTTGTCTTAAGTTTTTTCAAGAACTATATATTACTTCTTCTAGTATATGAAGGAGAAAAAATAAAATACTTTGACCTTCTCAGATGATTTTATTTTTATTGCATTGAATCAGTAATTTGTTTCCTTGGAATTTTTGTTGCTCTTATTGTTTTTGCATGGGTCTGACACCTTACTAGAAACAAGTAATCAGGTTTTTTTATTGTCAGCTCTGTTTAGTTGATAATTTTCTTTTGCATCCTCTCTCTGTGCCCCTCTCCCCACGTGTTTTTGCATTCTAGAGCTTCGTACAGTCCCAAGTTCCTAAGACAAAAGCGCTACAGAAGTCCCAATATGTCACGGAGGAGAGTTCATGGTGCTCTTCCCTCCTTCATCAGTGATGACGAGGATGACTTTGAAGAAGATATGGACAATGAGGCAGTCATGACATCAAATGTTAGGCTTGTTCTGCCTGATGATCAGGTAATTTATGCTCTGAACTTTTAAGAAGGTGGTTCCTCTATAAGCTGTTCCCTGTTCACTTTTTTCCTTTCCTTTCATTTTCTTTCCTTTCCCTTCCTTTTCCTTTCTTTCCCTTCGTTTCCTCTCCTCTCTTTTCATCTCCTTTACTCTCCTTTCATTTCTTCTTATTTCCTTTTTTCTCCTTTCCTTTCTTTCCTTTCCTTTTCTTCCCTTCCATTCCCTTTCCTTTATTTTCTGGTCTTCATGATTACTTTCCTTTTCTCCCTTTTCTTTTCCTTTCCTTTTCTTTACCTTACCTTCCTTTGTGTTATTTTACTTTTCTTTTCTGTGCTTTATTTTCTTTTTCTTTTCTTGTTTATTTGTAACTTTTATTTGTTTTACCACTCTTTTTTTTTTACTTGTAGTTGCTTTACCATAAGTGTTTACTTAAGACTGCTTATTTTGACCTTCTCCAGATCTCTCGCGGCAGCTCGTCAGACTACACTGACTCGTTGGGCGTTCCGCAGCATCGTGGGAGAGCCCGAGGCAGGAGTCTGGCCTTCACCTCTACACCCATCACACCGCATGATGATCACCACATCTCCAGTGAGTGTTGGCATACATGAATGAGTAATAACTATTCTGTTATCGTGTGTCTGTGTTTGCGTAAAAGATTATCAGCATTGTGACAGTTAAGCTTGTTGGAATCAAACATTGATGTCTTTGATCCTGTGAATGTGGGTACCTGATGTGGAAAGATTGAGATTGAATGATGTGACTGTTGTCATGGGAAAGTTGATGGAGAAAAGGGGCTTATGTAGTTTCTGAGGTGATTTATTTTTTCTAGCTAAGAGACAGATCTAGTGATTTGGCTTACGTTTCATTTTTTAGTCCTCAGTGTTTTAAAAAAATATTTTTCTCTTCAATGCAAACAAGTGTAAGAAAGAGTCAGAGATTGAGAGTTACAATGTATTATCTCTATAATCATCTTTTGTCTTTGTCAGTTTCTGAGAGAATAATTTTTAAACTGATAAAATTCTTTCATTCTGCTCTCCGCTTCCCTCCCTCCAGCTCATGACCACTACTATGATGGAATGCTCCTCCGGTCTGGTAGCCATGTGCATGGTGCCGAGAGATATCATGGCGGTGGTGGCGTTGTTCTCTCGCGTCGCAGTGAGGGGAACTTAGCGCCACTAAGTCAGGCAGCTCTTATATCTGATGAGGAGATGTCAAAGGCATCTATGGCACGTCGTCGCAGCGGGCGCAATACAACTACGGTCACCACCATCACAACCACAACTACCACAGAGGAGGAGGAGGAGGCAGAACGTGCCAAGAAGAAGTTGTTGATGGAGGAAGAGGATAGTGAACGTAAACTCAGACTTGATGAATCTCAAACAGAAAAACTGCAATACCTCAGTGGCCGGGATCAGTACAGGCTGAAACATCTTGACGGTAAACCTATTGTTATTCATGCCTTGACACATTGACTTTCAGCCTTCGATTCAGTGTCATAAAGGGAAGTTAAAATGATGACCTCTATTTTATTGTTCTTGTTAGTGGTCAAGTGATATGGTGATTTTTGTCCCTTTTTCCAATGTCTGGTATTTTGTTGTTGTTTTACTTATAGGTCCTGTGGTCGAGTGTTTTTTTTTCTTTCTCTTTGGCCAATGTAATGAGGGATGGGTACAGCTTCCCTTCAGTTGATGGGTAGTAGGTCAGAGAGTGGTTTTTTTTTTCAGTTTTAATGAGAGTTTCATGGCGCTTGCAACATAATAAAGGCATGTAAGTGCCTAAGACTAGAGATATTATAAGAGAGTAGCAAAAACAAAAAAGGAGGAGTGATAAGGAGGATAGATGTTTGATAGGAAAGAAGCAAATCACACCAGAGCAGCCACCAACCACCCATTTCAGAAAGTGTCTGGCAACTGCTGGTAATGAACAGTATGGTGTGAAGCGTATGATGTCAGAACAAAAACTTTAGGGGGAGAGAGTATAGGTAAACATCTCATTGAATATAGTATGTTGTAGCTTATGTTGTCTAATGTGCAGCATAACATGTTAATCAAACTACCCACCCACCCATTTTAAAATCTAAATGTTTGAATGTGTGTGTGTGCTTTCAAAATGAATTTCACGTTAATTGATGGCTTAGACTACATCACCACAGATTTATTTAGTTGTTCCCTCAGAGCATAATGCCACTACATATGTGAAGCGAGCTGACAAAATGAGTTACTTCTCAGATTCAAGCCTTAAGGAAAAAAATATATCACGCTTTTAGGTTCAGTTTTTACAGTTTATAAGTGTGAAATAATAAAAGACAGGTTATAGTTAAAGAATATGGCATCAATAGAAAATCGACAAATTTTACCCTAAAGGCGATTTTTTGCCAATATATCCTCTTGAAGATTCCGAGATATAACTCATTTTGTCTGCACGCCTCACATATGCACTTTGCGTTTGGAGATTAACTGTTTTGGGTTGATTATTTGGATGCTTTGGGATACATTAGTTCCTGATCAGAGATGTTTGATGTTGATCTTTCTGTTTCTATTTTTGTATTGTAACCAGGTCTGGATTACGACGACGATATTTCAGGTAATTAAACCAAATTTATTGCTTATCATAGTTTTACGTTAGTGTTACAGCCATTCAGTCTGTGTGAGTCTGTTGTCTTACTGTTTAAATTATCTGTTGGTTCTATTTTCCCTTATAGTTCTGCATAGCTTCCTTGTTCCATCTGTGAGGGTTCTTAATGTACCAAAGATAAAGTCACTGATGAGCAGGTTGAGGTTAGAATTGTAAAATTAATGTTCTGTAAATTAATCTTCAGGCCACCGGTTTTTTTTTCTTCTTCAAGATGACCTTAACAGAGTAAGAAAAGTTATAGTTATTATTTATATATATACATGAATGAATTAACTCAGTTTTTAAAATATGAGTTGTGGAATTTCTGTCCTATAGGATTCAGTGATATGAAACTGTTATTTACAAGCTACTTATCTAAATGTTGTCAATTTTGCATTCTGACATCTGTGGTGTACTGGTTAGGCTCTTGCTTTCAAGAAATGTTGTTTGATTCCCAAGTAGGGAGGGTATTTTCATTAGTATCAATTTTTCTAAGATGTATCGTACACAGTTCGTGCTATCGTCACAGTCATGGTAAAAGCTATCCAGCTCTAAGAGGGTTCAATTGTGTTTGTGCGATTCACATATTTACACCAAAAAACCCCCCAAACAATTTCTGTGGGTGGTTGGCGGATGCTCTGGTGTGGTTTGCTCCCGCTTTCATATCGAACATCTATCGTCGTTATCTCTCCTCCTTCTTTTTTGTTTTTGTTACTCTCTTGTAACATCTCTAATCTTTGGCACTTATATGACTTTATTGTGTTGCAAGTGCCGTAAAACTGTTACGAAAACTAAAGCCAATTTCTTTTGGAACTTCAGATGTTGACGGACATGACGTCCTGGATTCCCACTTCTCCACACAACACACCACAGACTATATCAGCACAAAGAGGAAGAGGTGGTCTGTGTTCACTTTCTTCACCACCATCATCACCACCATTGTCACAACTGTCACTACCACTATCTCAGGTGAGTTGAAAAGAGATTGTCCCTGTTCACCTTTTTCACCATCACTGTTTCCACAATCACTACTACCACTTCAAGAAGACAGGTGTCCGTGGTGTAGTGGTTAAACACTTCCCTGTTGCATGCAGGAGACCTGCGTTTGATTAGAATATGTTACAGAATATCTTGGTCTGTTGAGATGCATTTCTCTCAGCACAGTTGGCCCTGACAGGCAGGGTCACAGGCCTGCCTCCAAAATGATCTTCATTGTGTCAAAAGGGTCCTAAAAACACCTACCTAAAAAGAAATATGTTTTTTAGAAACGTCAAGAAGTGACCACCATTGTCACCAAAGTCACAACCATTATCTCAGGTGAGATGAGAAAAGATTGCCTTTGCTCACCTTATTTATCAGCATGGTCAAAACAGTCCCTACCAAAGTGGCTGGGAAGTGCATACAATATGTGCACATTTTCTTTTGTCATAGTAAGTCACAGATGATGAATTGTCTGGGAAATCATATACTCATGGAGTAAATTCCAAATTTGTTCAAGCCTAAGGCCTGGAAACTGAATGATGCTTAAAAAATCTGATAATGCCTAAAAATAAAGTGCAGTCAAGACAATTTGTAGTCGTGTCCTTAACGGTAATAGACATTTATTTTTATATTATTGTGCCTTTTTCACCAATCGTATAATCTTTCATGGTGCTACTGACTGAAGTGTCTTTATGCCATTCCCAAAGGGGGGACACTAACATGTTTTTATGTACAGTAGAATTGTGAATGGGCTGATTCATCAATGTCATGCTCATAATTGTGCCTGAACTGAAAGAGGGAACTGCTCCTTTTTGTTTCCTAATCCTAACTATCGTCATTTTTCCTTTACTTCTGTATGTTTGTCACACTCTTGTGACCCGCTATTTCCGGGATGCCTTAATAGTCAAAGCTGACTTTGTGCTGTTGAAGCTAGAGAGGTGAGCAGAGTAAGCCTGATTCCCTGTATGGATTTCTTTGTTGACATCCACTCGTTGGCGCTCATATGACCTTATGCAGTTGCGAGCGCCGTAAAAGCTCTACTAAAACTAATACACTTTTGCCTGGTATGACATGCTGAGAAATGAACGGAACAATTCACTTTTATTCACACCTGGCTACATGATTGCTGAACGTGTCCTTGGTATAAACAAACAGATTCGTTTTATAACCATTTGGTCACATACTTAATATCAATAGCTTTGCATCAAAGGAGATGTGTGATAGTATATTGGTAAATATCCCCACGCTTCACTCGGGAAACCATGGTTCAATTCCCTGCACAGAAGGGTTTTTTTTCCCCCCTTGATATTGAGAGGGATTATTGAGACAGGAGAAACAGAGACACGGAGGCTGATTGAAAAGGGTGGATCAGAAAGAGCGGGAGAAAGAGAAACTGTTTTAAAGATGTAATACAATAAAGACCAAAACAAATCATTTTATACAGTCTACAATCTCTTCAGTATCAATCAAATGTTCTGTTTGTAGAAAGGGGATTGAACTAGTATATTTAATACACAATGTGTTCTAAATGACAAATGAGGCCATCTTTTGGAATCACATACTCCATTGTGTTTATTCTTAGACTCTGGAAGCTTATCTATTTAACCATCTGCATAATATTCTGACAGTGCATCTATCCTGTGCCATCTCCTCTAGTGGTTAGAGGGCACCATTGATGGGTAATACTTCTTTACTTTCTCTCTGTTGTTCCTGTCTGTCACTATTTTTCTTTCCCTGCACTAAGTGACTGTTATTGAGTCATTATGCTTTTTTACTCTAGAACTCAAACCACCACCTCTGATCCTTGTCCTCAGAAAACAGCAGCAACGTGGTCAAGTCTGTTGCATCAGCCGTGGCGGCCCCAGTTGTGATCCCTGCACGGTGGACACTGCATGCCCTCGCGTCCTCATGCTCGTGGTTGGTGAAGAAGTCGGCAGCTCTCCTTCTTCTGGACATAGAGATGAAACAAAGGTAGTGTTTATTTACCTTATGTGAATGTTGCGGGCTGTAAGGTTGATAAGAAGTTTTGTTGTTCTGCTAAATGGATGTATGTGTGCAATAACTGTAAAAATTGCTGTGGCCAGTTGAAAAAAAATGTTGACTGGCATCAGTTTGAAGAAGTCTTTCTTTATGAAGTTCCTGATGCAACAGAAGAACTCATCTCTTCTCTGATATTAGTAACACTGCATGTGTGTTTGTCTCTTTTTTTACTTATTGGAGAAACTGTGCAAGGAATCGTGTGAGTTGAGCATATGAGCACCATCATTTGTGCAGAGTGTGGAAAGAAGTTTTTAACTATTGTTCTGCATCTGTGCTGAGATGCGATTCTTATCAGCAACCGTTTACGTTGGACATTCCGGGCAGGCCGCCGGGGTCACTCAGCGTGTACTGTTGGTGTACAGCGATTGTGCCTGGAAATGTGTGTTTTCGCCATGAATTCCATTTTAGTGTGTTAATTGATGATGAAAATAACCCTCTGTCTTTTATAGGTTTCTATTTATAAAGTGTTACGAACTCATGAATAACCCCCTATCATAAGCTGATAAGACATTATGAGTAGTTACGCCCATTCGAAAAACCTTTTTAGACACTCTTGTTGTTATGAATGAGCTGGGGTTCGAAAGGGGATAATATAGGTCAATTCCCGAATGTTTTACACTCAAATTATTCTTTTTACCTGCACCATGATATTCAAAATTATCAAACAAGCTTATTTTTTTATCAGGTAGTATCATTTCATACAAAATCAAGCTCATTTGAAAGATTTTGTATAGAAAAATGGAATTCTTGTTTCCTGACTATCCTTTCGAGCTCCTCGTGTCTAAGTGGGTCAATTTGGTCTTTAATTTTATTGGATGAACATCGAGAGCTACCAACTTGGCGTGTTTTGAATGAGACGTATGCCTCGGTTACGAACCAACGCAAGCGGTTCTAGAAGAAGGCCACAAACACACACAAACTCAAGCAGACTGACGCGCACACTCTTGACCTGCGTGAATGCAGATCCGACGCGGGACCCGAATTGAACGGGAGATGATGCACGGCAGGCATGCGCTGAACAGGGGCCAGACTGACGCGGGACCGGAATGAAGATGAAGTGTTGAAATAGACTTATCGGGCGACATAAACCCGGCTCCCACAGGATGAGGGTTGATAAAATTGATAATGGTCTTTGGTAGCCTCTGCTTGAAGATGCTCCCAGTGTCGTCTCAGCTTTGTTTCTCAGCGTCTCTATGTGGTACATGGTCATGGATGTTTTCCTGCATTTCTCTTCATTTCCAGCAGGTGATTAGTGAGTACTCTGGTGTGGGTGCTATTTCTGCTTTATTTCAGACATCACCCATTATACAGTAAAGATGAGGCTCATTGACATTGCATGTAGAAGACAGGAGCTGGATTCCTCATGGGGAAGTTTGCTTTTTCTACTGGGATGCTGTATCTTATTGCCTGGATTGGCTCTAAAAGGCAGGATCAAAACAGCGTGCCTCTTAAATGATCTAAATCATGTTGATGGAGGCTTTATGTGTGTACAATGATGAATCATGCTTTATTTCAAAGTTTAAATTGTCATGTTGTCTTAATGCATTCTTGACAAAATGTAACTTTTATTTTTATCACTCTTCATAGCTGCCCTTCAGCAGCATCCGGGTCATCTCGTGTCCACCCAGTGCACCACCTTTATTCACTGTATATATGCGTGTGTGTTCTGTCCACAGGAGAAGACGTGGCTGCTGCTGTTGTCTTCTGCCGTTTTTGCTGCTGTTGCCACTCTTGTTGCTGGGAGGTAAGATGGAATGCAGTGGAGTGGGTATATCAGTCATTTTGTAGGGGTTGTTGAAAGGAAGAACAAGAAAAGTTTTTCTTTATTTTGATCTCCATATCGACTGCAAAGTGTAATACAGGGTGCCCATTGAGGGATCGTGTCGGAATGGGGCAGTTTGCTAGCGTTTGTTTTCAGGCAACGAGCAGGGCGATCGACCCGCCCGACCCCATCTGCAATGGGCACCCAGTATAAGACTCTGTCATGCATCACTTTTCAAAGTGGCGAATGACAGAGTTTTACATTGAGCAGTCAATATGAAGGTTTGTACTTTTCAAGTTTTGGAGAACCAATTTATACAAAAAGTCCAAGTTTTGTTTAATGTATGTTATGAAAATAAAATGTTTACTGCTGTCATAATTATTTAAGCATAGAAAAGTGTTAGTATATGGAAATTTAAGAAACTGTGCTTAGTATATCTTTTACAGAAGTATTTAAATATATTTTTTGCCCTTTTTTGACAGCAGTGAAACAGATGCAGAGATAGAGTAAAAAGATTATGATCGATCATGTTGTCCTTTCTTCCCTTAGGTTATTATGGCAAAACCATGCAGCAAGATGCCACTGTGTACTGGTCCCGATCTCGCACGGTGTTTGCCGAGTCCTGGAACTCTCTGTGGATAACCTCAAAGTCCGAGAACATCCCTGTCTACCAGGTGAGATAGGAAGCGGGTTGGATTATGGGGGGGTGGGATGGTTGTGTGTGTGTTAATATGTATGTGGGTTGGGTTTTTTTGGTGTTTGATTGTATTAAGTTGTTCAAATACAACTTATGCTCGTTGTAATTATAAAAATCCAATAATGCTTATAAATGTGGCTTTCCATTGATCTTTTATTCTGTGCTGGTCAGTTATTGGTTCATTCATATGACAGGCTAACAGTAACGACAGTGAATGGACTCTGGCGGCCCGTCCACAGTGTCAAGGGCAAATATATAATTTATGGCAACACATTTGGTTAATGAGAGATTTGTGTGGCCATCTTGGACAGGTTTGAAAAAACTTTTTGATTTTATAATAGAGTGGCTGCGGTCATGTTGGACAGGTTATCATTTTTTACAGTGCCATTATATATATATATATAGATAAAAATACAAGGGGAGAAATGGAAAGTAGCTGTTTGCACAGGTGGTTGTTTTACACAGGTGGCAGTCTGAGAAGGTTAAACTATATTTTAGTTCGATAAAATATAGCCTTATTGGAGTGATTTAGAATGTCATTTTTGGTTTGCGTTACCCACAATCCAACTCAAAACTATGGTAAAGTTGAAACATTAATGCAATTTTAGCAGCTACATAAAGTAAGTCATATATATTGTTGGTATAATCCAGCACATGACCACTTCTTGTTAGCCTCTTTAACGCCAGATGACCACTTCTTGTCTTTCATGTTGGCACTGAGTTGAGTATGAAAAGTCATGCAAAATGTCTTTAAAATGAGTTTTAAATTCCACTTCCTTTTTGCATACTTGTGTTTCCTTTTTGATGAAGATGTCTTTCGAGTACCGTATCTGTTATATTCCATGATTGGATATATTGCTCTCCATGGATAATATTTCTGCTGTTCTTCTTTTTTCGTTCAAGATTAAAACGAACCAAGCGTCTGTCTTCAACTAGGCCTAAGTAAACATATATACAGGAGAGAAATATTCTGATCTGAAAACATAATAATTATAATAATGAAAATTTATATTGCTCCTAATCCCTAGAAGGCTCTAAGCTTTGTACAATGCTGAATTATCACTCATGTCTGTGTGTGTGGACAGCCCCCGGCTCCAGTCCCTGTGGCGGTCACCGAGCCCCCAGCTCCTCCTCCCGAGCCTGTGGTTGTGGCCCCTCAGGTGGACATGGATGCTCTGTACCAGTACATTCAGAACACAGTGGTCCACGTGACCTCCGCCAACAAGGATGATCGACCAGTCGGTCTGACGGAGGACCAAGTACGAGCCATTGTTCTGGCGATGCTCCGACCTGAAGTTGATGGTGTCAAAGACGGGGTTGGTGAAAATCTGGCATCTTTGCAGGTAAGTTAGAGCATTTCTTTCGTAAATCTAAATTCTTTTTTCTGTTGTGTTATTGGTTTTGCATTTCACCTTGCTTCACCTCGTAAATGATTTAAATTCTATGAAAAGAGTTAAAGGTGTTTGTAACACTTCGAAGTGTTTGTCCATAAAAAGATAGACATCTCAGGTAAAAACACCTAGGAAATTGAGCTGTTTTTAGGGGCAAAGCAGAGGATTAAAATTGACTTGGAGTGCTTTTCAAATTTTGTTCTTCTTGCTATCTGGTGAATAAGATACATAGAAGTCATATAACACATTAACAGGGTGGGGAATTACTATTAATGTTTGTGCATATGATCAGGTCTTATAGATGCTTATACAACAATCCCTCCTCCCCCCCCCCCCCCCATGGTAAATAATAGTTTTTCAGTACACCTAAGGTGCATTATGATGAGTTTGGAAATTAATAATTATAGCGCTCAAGTAAAGGGCAGGTAGAAATTACCTTAAGAAAATTAAGCAATGTATTTGTGAAAAAGATAATAAAAAAGCTGAATATAACACAAGAGAAAATGATGATGCATTCCCAGGGACTGCTGCGTGAGGATATTTCTAAGCTGGAGGCGAAACTCTCAGCTGTTCAACAAGAGATTCAAGTGACCTCAGAAGCACATCAGGTATATTTTTCTCTAATCATCATCATAATCATCCTTCATCTCCCCTTTTTATGCCCTCATCATTGTGATCATGTCTATTTTGGAGATTTATATATTATATATTGTATTTAAGGCATGTTACGTGTATTTAAAACATCACCGTCATTGACGTCAACATCTTTTTCATCTTTAGCGAGAGGTTCAGCCATTTACTATGATTCTTTTCAGGCCATGACTGACAACTTTGATCAGACAAGGATGTCATTTGAAGGGTGAGTGGATGGTTAGCGAGTGCTCTGGTGTGGCTTATTCTATCTTTCCTATCAAACATCTGTCATCCTGATCCCTCCTTCTTTTATTTGTATGTTCCTGTCTAGTAACATCTCTAATCTTTTGCCCTTATTTAACCTACTTGTGTTGCAAGTGCCCTAAAACTCTGACTGAAAATACTAAAACTTGATGGGTGAGTGGGCTGGCTGTGCTCGATCTCTTGTAGGCTAGGATCAGGGTTCACTAGCTGTGTGGTTTGTAATGATGCCTGAAGTGTTTACGGTTTACTTGTGATATTAAATTCTTTTACTCTCACAAAGCTTCCTTAACCCTTTTGTGCACAGAAGGCACACCTCAGTCTGTCTCCTGTAACATTATTTTAGGAGATGTTCAGATGAGGTCAGGTGCATTGGACGTTTAGGCTCATGGGTGCAGGGATCAAAGGTTAATATTAATTGTTGCTCTTTAATCGCTGGGTAGTGCTGATAACATTAAAATTAAAAGTGGAATGAAGACTTGGTTAATTTATAACTTCAGATACAAATATTTGTTGGATAGGCCTTCTGTTAGTGTAAAAAGTTCATTGTGTTCTTGATCCTTGAAGTGAGTTGTTTGTATCGTCTTTTGTACAGCTGTCAGTATAGAAATGCTCTGACAGTCCTGGCAAAATGTGCTTATTATCCTGCTGATTGTCTGAATACTTGTCAGTAAATTGTCGCCGAAATTCTATTTTGTCCAAAGTATACTAGACTATTGAGCACACTTTGGACAAAATAGTTTTGAGGCGAGGAAATGTTAGTATTGTTTTAATGTGGACTTTTTCCCCTCCTCCACCGGGCGGCTCTCTCAGCTCCGTGGAGGATCAGAGGACTCAGTGGCAGGCCTCCGTGGCAGCTCTTGAGGGAAAACTGGCAAGTCTTCAGGGCCAGATGGATGGGCTGACCTCTCAGAACGCAGCCTTGTCGGCCATGTTGGGCAAGTGCTGTCAGAACAACAGTGTAGTGACCACGGACTCTGTCAGGGCACATGTTCTGGCTGTCATGTCTCAGGTGAGTGGTAGACTCGGCTAATTGTGCTTTCATTGTACAGTTTTATTATTAATTCTGGTGGTGCCGACCTTTTGATCATTGTTTAAAAGAAGCCACACTCTCTTCATCCCTAAAATATAAAAGAAGCAGGCGTTCAATATTCTTAAAAAATAGTGGTGCTGGATTCCCTTGAATTTGAATAAACATTTATGAAATTGTAATTTTCGATCACTACGCTGTATGTATGTATCATTATAGAATACCCCAGAATTGAACTATTGCTTTTCAATTCCACTTTTAAAAATGTGAGCATCTGCTCTTCAGATTTTAGTTCAAAGCTGCACGGATAAATGCAAGTCAAGTATTTGTCTGTGACACAGCGTATGGGGGGGGGGGGGGGGGGGTCTATGGTCATTGAACAGCACACAATAAATCTAACTCAAAAACAGGGAGTTGCATGGTGGCCACCAACAAATTGTCTGGATTGTCTAGATTTATGGTATTGTGTATTATTCATGCATTTGTGTATTTACGTATACCAATGTAAAACAAATTCCCAAGGGGATCAAATATGTCAGATTGCTTAAATTTCTATTTTTGTTTGGTAAATATATTCCAAAGAAGTGACAGCTAGACTGGTCAATTAGTTGTGACTGAAGTTGGTGGTCGAAAGCAAAATATGATGGTCTAAGCCCTAAGCTCTAGGTTGTCATGAACAGCTCGTTGATATGTTGAATATTGTTAATTTCATGACTTTTTCTGTGGAAAATTGTTATTGATCTCCTGGTATTATAAGTCAAAAGAAGTTCCTCCTTTTCTTTGTGGTAGTGAGAGGGTGCTTCAGGTAGGTTCTCTTTTTTTACAACAGCTCATTTTCTTTTGTCCATCTGTTTTTCTTGTTCTTAGCACTGAATGATAGTCAAGATAAGCACTTTTTAAAAACTTGAAATATACTTCCTTTTTTATTCTTGCACTCTGATTCTAAAACTAACATTAATAATTTTTCTATACTAGATGGGCTCGGACGATGAGGACAGACAACATCTTGCAGGTCTCATGTCTTGGCTGAACGGTCAATATGTGGAGAAATCTGAACTTGACCACAGACTGTCGGCTGTCTCAGCCGAAATAATGGAGAGCCTGCGAGTTCTTTTGGCTGACCGAGGGGAACATCAGGCTTCTGAAGTGGTGGGTAGGGAGGTCAGAGTTGGCAATCTCTTTCTCTCTCTCTCTCTCTCTCTCTCTCTCTCTCTCTCTCTCTCTCTCTCTCTCTCTCTCTCTCTCTCTCTCTCTCTCTCTCTCTCTCTCTCTCCCTCTCCCTCCCCCTCCCCCTCCCCCTCCTCCTCCATGCTTTGACTAGGTGTAGTGTTATGTTATATTATACCTATCGCATTATTCTACAGAAGGTCTCGAAACAGTTTAAAATAAGACATAGTTTAATATTATATAAGAGTATGTCATGTTGTTTTGATATGGGAATATCTAATATTATGAACAATAGAACTTCTATTAATTAGAGCAGGAAGTATAATTCCTGAAATATAATGTACCAGAAGAGATATGTTATTACAATCAACTCCATTAGTTTGTCCTTAGCCTTTCAGGCGGAATTAGATCTCAAAACTGTGACGGAACCTCCCCTCAAGGAAACAACAAAAAACACAAAAACATGTGATTTTAACACTTTTCAGGAACTGTCAAGAATATTTTTCTCTTTGAAGAGGAAATTTACTGTTATAGAAAATCCCCCAACAGAAAGAAAAGAAGAAGCAAGTTACAGTAGGTCTACTGGTTGTGTGGTACAGTAGGTTATGAGTCCTGACACTCCAGAGTAGCTCTAATGACCTTTTGACCTACTCACAGGCTGTCAAGTCCATCATCGACGAAGCCTTGATCCAGTTCAGCGCCGACCGCATCGGGATGCCTGACTTTGCACTGGAGTCTGCCGGTAAGGTTTGATTAACCTGCAGCACAACTGCTGGTTTGGTTTTCTTTTGTGAAAACCAAACAAATAGGAGTCCAACCATCTACTAGATATAATGCAAGTCAAAAATCTTGGAAGGCAGAGATGTTGACTCAGTTCTTAGGATAATGCAGGAAGAAGAAGAAAGAAAAGAAGGTGAAGATCACTCCACAGCAAATATCACATGTGTGCATATGAACTTTCATGTCTATGTGTTATTCCATTGTAGACGGATTTTCTCCTACCGCCATTTAACAGTGGGAGTATTTCTTTCTCCTCGACACACTTGTGTGAATGTTCCTCATTAGAAGTGGGGCTCTACAATCATTTTTTCAACGTCTGTGTATGGTTTATAAATTGAAGAGTGGAATAAATCGTGTTTGTTTTGTAAACTTTCGTGTTCAGGGAGAGGTAAAAAAACAACAAAACAGGTCCAATATTTATCATAGCTAGAATTATTTGGGTTGGGTTTTTTTTTTGTGATGAGTGTATCTATACAGATCTATTTCTCATCTTACAATTGCCTGTGTTAGAGCTTTTGTTTTTGTAAGATCAGATTTGTTTTGTCTTCATTAGAATATTTCTTTTGGACTGATATAATCTGTAACTGGCACCACATTCGTTTATTGAAAGATGTCTCTACCATTGAGATCTTTGTTTTGAAATGATGGTTGTATGCTTTAGGAATGGTCATTTTGAAATGATGGCTGGGCGCTATAAGAATGTTTCCTTTGAAGTAATGTTGTAGTGTTATAAGTCTGCAGATGCAGCTTGTAAAAGAGTGGGTATTTTAGTGACATGAGTATGTCACTTCTTGTGTATTTTTGTCTATGATCGCGATATAATCTAGATTTGTCTCTTCCTCATGGGTAGGTCAATTCAGCAATGATAGTGATATGTTTCAAATGTGCTTCCCTGTAGGTGGCAGCATTTTGAGTGTCCGCTGTTCAGAGACCTACTACAGGAAGACGGCGCTTGTCAGTGTGTTTGGGTTCCCTCTGTGGTATACGTCAAACTCCCCCCGGACTGTCATACAGGTATGTCTCCTGTCCACTTGTGGACGCATGCACACACACACACACACACACACTCACAAGTGTGGGCCTAGTTATTTATAGAGTTAACCTGTTCTAATGGCCACCTGTATAAGAGAATCACTTGTACAAACATCCACTTCCTATTCCCCCTTGCTTTTTTTAAAAACGTTATAATGACACTGTTAGGTGTTCACCTGTTTAAGACAACCACTTTTCTCCTGACTATGGGTGGCCTTCTCAGACAATTTTGACTGTTATACTTGTACACGCAGGCAAGCACATCCCATCCCAGACAATGGCACTTGGACACACCCACACACCGATGAACATGTACACTTACAAACGCCCTGACACACACATAATATATTAATTCAGTGGTCTCCGCCTAAACGCACGCTCCGCTCAAACGCACGCTTTCGTCATCTAACGGGTTTTTTACTATATAATTTAGACGTACAAACGCACGGTCACTACCTCTAAACGCACTCTCCGATCCGCGAAACACGCCGACAAGTTAAGCTTGGCAGGGGGAAATTTTCACTACAATCTGCACAGCCTGCATAAGACAAGCCTAGAATTTACTAGAAAACCAGATATTTGGTGAGAGTGCCCCTCACGCTGTACAAAGAGAGTAATGGACTGCATTTACACTACACACCCTACTTTCCACTGACGCATAGGTCTCGATCTAGGGCTGGTCGGTTACATGTTGGGAGGGGGGGGGGGCTGAAATGTTTTTTTGATTGGTCACTGGAAATGTATCTTTGAGAGAAGGTTTCTGACTGGTGTTTGAGTGACTGCGTGTAATGTTTAGTTAAATTTTAAATCTAGGCCTGATGCGCGACACGCGCGAATGCCGTAAAACACTAGACAGGCCTCTATAGGATTTTAAAGATTAGCCAAGTAAGCCTAATCAGCTGTACTCGAAGAACTTATAACGTACTTGTTCAACGAATCACAAAAGAAAATGTTTCTCAGGGATGATCCAACTGCATGAATTTACGGTCGGGGGTGGTCGCTTGGAAAGCCACGTGGCTAGTCCGTCGTCTCTATGACTATGACCAGCAGTTTCTTCTTAGGCTATCTGTTCCCGACGTTTACAGTGCATATTCATTACATTTAGTTTGTATTTCTCTCCCCTCCTCCCCCCCCCCCCCCCCCTCAACACCTTTGTATTCTTAACCCCTGTCGGGGAATCCTTCACAAAACAGTCACATGTGGTCACATTATCTGCCAAAATGACCCCCTCCCTCCAAGGGAGGTCACTAGAGTAATAAGGAATTGAGATGACTGCGTCCCTTCCTCCCCTTGCAAAGGTTCATGTAAACGCACGCTCCGTATAACACATGCTAAGGAGCCCTCCTGAGCACCGTGCGTTTAAGCGGAGACTACTGTACTTGTGCACACATATACACTCACCACTCAAATACAAACTATGCACACACACACACACACACACACACACACACAAAACTGAATGTAAACACATGAATGATGGTAATGACCCGAGTCTCCTTTATGTTTCAGCCCAATGTCCACCCTGGGGAGTGTTGGGCCTTCAAAGGCACGTCAGGGTATCTGGTCATCCAGCTGTCCCACCCCGTGCAGCCCACAGGCTTCACACTGGAGCACATCCCACGCAGTCTCGCCCCCAAGGGAAAAATCGACAGCGCTCCTAAAAATTTTGCAGTCTTTGTAAGAAACTTTTCAGCTTTTTCCCCTGGCCCTCAAGGACATATACAATATTTGGCACATTAGATTTTAAGACAATGATATTGGAAAATAGTTATCCTTGGTAGATATATTATGTCAAAGTTAAACTAATGTTTTGAAGCCCTCATGAGGTTTGATTCAAAATAATTAAAAACACAACTCTGTCTTTTTTTTTTTTTTACCCTCGTTGTCTTTATGTATTTGTCAGTAAGGTTTTTGAACTGACCTCTGAACACTCCTCCTCAGGGCCTGGTTTCTGAGAGTGACACGCAGGGACTCAGCCTCGGTAACTACACCTACCTGGACAATGGGAAGCCCATCCAGTTCTTCTCCATTCAGGTGTGTTTCACACTCACAGCAGATAGACCGTTGAGGGGTAGTACTTTCTCCCACAAAGGAATGCTAGGCTTGGGGGGGGGGGTAATCTGCTTTCTGAACATCACACTTGAAAACAATTTGGATATGTCATATTTATCAGTACTTTTAAATACCCCGCTTGCAGTACATCACATAAATTTAGAGATTGTTAACACGTTACACCCTAAGGGTCTGGACGGGAAGTCCATTGTTAGATCCTAAGCAAGGGGAAGGAACCCACCTCCCGTGAATACTAAACAGATTCCCAAAATCCTGAAAAAATGAAAGTTAAAACGAAAAATAATGTAGTTTCAGAAAAATATAACTTTATATATGCGCAAACTGTTGGAAATGTTCTAACTTTAGTTCAATCGGGGTGTCCGACCCGTCACTCTCACTCCCAGCCTTGCGGTTGGGCCCTAGGTCTAAATTCTAGATTTTCTACATCTGATCAATCGGAATCGCCCCAAACTCTTACTACAACGGTTTCATCAAAATCTTAGTCATCTGATTTGTCATATGCTTGTTTTTGCTCAAATCCATCGTTATTTCCTTTTTCGAACTCAATTGTGTCGCTTTTCAACAAGTCGAGACACTTTCGAACTGTCGGTAACGCGATCTCACTTCGTTCGGCTCTCCAATACTAAAACTACTGGCCCGAAAAATTTCGTTTCGATATTAAACGAAAGAAGAAACTTTTTGCAATAACTATGTAAATCAAAATCACAGCCCCAGAGTCTCGAGTCTCGTCAAGGCGAGACTTCGTTTCTAAAGACGCTAGGTCGGCGAGTCAGGGTGGAGCGCGTAAGGGAATTCGCGGGCGAGTTAGGGTGTAATGTGTAATTGAAAAGCACTGCTTGCACACAGTTCAAGAAAGTCCCATTCGTAGATAAATGCTGTTGTACCACAGGATTGGTTTTGCAGATTGCACTGTGGACCTGAATTTGTTAAAAGTGACCCTTTTGTAGATTGATATGGGATTTTGGTGTTGGTGGCCAAGTGGTTAGGCTCATGGACTTGCAACCGTTAGGACATGGGCCTGACATTGTGGCCTTGGGAAAGGCACTTAACACTAATTTTCCTCATTTCACCCAGGTGGAAACGGTTACAAACAGCGAAAGATCTTGTTAGTTTGTTAGTGTTTGAGAATTTGCAGATTGCTGTGAATGCTTCTTGGTAATTGGAGAATGTTTCTGAGTGTTTTAAAGTCCTAGGGTCTGCTGGGGTAATAATGGTTGTAAAGCACGCAGAGCATGCTGTGGAGCATGGATGTATGCTGTGCAGTTATTATTATTATTATTATTGAATGCAGATGAGATGTGTTTGTGTCTTTTAACCATAAGGACTTGAGATGTCACCTTAGTGTCCTGTAGTATAAATCTATCAAGGGGTGAAACAGTTCGGGCGACTAAGATTTGTGTGCTGATGTCTATAAAAAGAAGGGAGAATAATTGTAACAGCAAGATGTTTTCTACTCTCTTCTCAGAACGGCCACCCTGGGGTGTTCCAGCACGTAGAGCTGCGGGTTCTGGACAACCATGGCAACCAAGAGTACACGTGTGTCTATCGCTTCCGCGTGCACGGGATGCTGTAGGTGGCTACTCGGATGACAGAGTCACACATGAGTTTCCCGGACTGTCATGTGGTGCTACGTACTTATCAGTAGCTCATAGACATATATGTGGTGGAATCAGGCTCTCGTCAAAATGATCAAAGTGAAGTAACTTGCATTTTTCCGCAGGCTTTTGAATTTTTATCAAATTTTTGTTTTTTGGCTCAACAACTTTCATGCACATTAAAGAACTCATTTCTGTGTGGATTTTTCTGAAAAGCGTTGATTAAAGACACAAAAATGAAAATTTTCAGTTACCACGGACTCTTAACTCACTTGCGACTGGGCCCTTTCACCAGCCACAAGCGTTGAAGACTGGTGTTTTGGGGGGTATTTCAATAAATCACCACAACTCTCAGAATTACCCTATTGTAATCATTTTTTGACACAGTAAAGTAACATTCAAGCTTAATCTAATACAAAAAACTAAAGTTGTCTAAGTCTAATACTTTAATTTGTATGATTTTTTAAAAATTGGCATGAATTTGATTTTCGAAAAATTTCCAGAGACGTGACAAGTAGAATGAAATTCACTGCAACAACAAAAATAAAAGTTCAAAGTGTTCTGGTTTGATTTGTATACATGTGCAAGTGTTTGGTGAAAATATAAAAGCTGGTCTGTGCATTGATTCAGACCCATACACTGAATTACATGAGACAGATGTACGGCACGACGTTGTGATTTCGTTGCGCGAAAAACAACACCGGTACTAGTGCTAGATCTAGCCCTAGAACTACGACTCGGGCCGTGTTCGGGTACATATCCAGGATCCTAACTATTAGACACATCATATTCTGAGACACTAGAACTAGTAAAACGCACAGAAGTATAGAAAACGGCGAAATTATGTGATTCTTGTTCATGCGACTTCTTCGACCGTTACTACGACGCGACTGTCGGATTACTATGAGCTGTATAGAAAAAAACAAAGCGCGAGTTCCGGTCTGTTCAACCCCAGTTGGGGTCACTGTCTTTCACCTTCAATAACTTAAAAACTACCGGCCCCAGAGATACGAAACGAAGTCTAAGTAGCTCAGGCTTGGCCAAACAAGGGTACGAGGCGGGTCTCGCGATCCGTGCGTGATTTGTAGAACGAAAAAAAAATTCCAAAGTTGGTCACGCAGGGCTTGTGAGACCCGACGCGAGTGTCATGGCGGGGGTCACGCAACTGTTGTGTGACCCGTCTGAAGTGAGTTAAGCTAAAGAAATAACTAATCTTCGGCGGCCTTTTTCTCACTAATTTTACCTCTGAAAACAGGTGACCCCCACCTCCTTCTTTCGCAAATATCTCGACTTGTATAAAAGATAAATGGATGTTTTTTTCATCCAAATAAAGACAAGTGAACAAGCTTTAAGATGATACCGATAACTCTACATGCCCAAAAATTGACGAGAGCCTGATTCCACCACGCTGCCTCACATATGTCTTTTACTTTTCCCTCAGTTGTGTGTGCTTGCATTCCACTATTTCACTTTTCATCATATCTCATTCAATGCTTTGGATACTTATCGTTTAGACAGCATTATCCCTGTAACGTTGTATCAGGTTAATTTTATATTTGTAAAGTTTGCAGTATGAAGTCTCATCACATATTTAAGTTATTATTGTCATCATTATCCTGGCTCTTTCAATATAACCTTTCATTATCATTGTCATCATTATCACAAGTAGAAGCAGTAGAAGGAACCCCATTTTTCCTGTGTAATTATCATTGCTGTCGTCTCTTCATATTTTTTGTATCACTCACTATTATGATCAGCTGTAGCAGTAGAAATGATTCTTTTATTGATGATGACTTGATCTATGCATTTGTTAGTTTCCTCTTGCCAGATTTGGTGACCATTTTACTTTTTTGGCTGTAGGTTTGACGACTGTATTTTCTTGTAAAGTTACTACCAAGTCTCAAAAGCAAGCACAATTTAAAAGATTATAAAAGCAATATATATGTGTCTTTTAAATGTCCACCAATCTTTATTTCCTGATTTTTAAATCTGGACTTTTATTTCAGTTCAACACACAAGTCAATGTTTTGTCTTGAGTATAATCTCATTATTCTTTAATCTCAGCATTCTTTGTTTTAGAGAAATTTTTAATTTTAGGAAGAGACATACTTCTTTATAGGGATTTGTAGAATGGGAAGTTGTAGATGATATCGATGTAGCATAGATCTGTGGCGAAGATCTCTATTGTGAGCTCTCAACTCAAATACCAAAGTTTATGGTTTTTTCCTGTTGTTCTAGTTTCTGTTGATTTGTCTGGCAAATGTGTTACCATTAAGGCTGTTTTTTTTTAGTTGTTCTTTCTTCTCATATGTACAAACTCATTTTACATGTTTGGAATTTTTTCCTTTGATATTCTAAACTCCTGGGTATGCGTCTAAGTTAATATAGTCAGAACTTGACTCATAGACTCCTAAAGCGTAAGGGGATGCAACAAAACTGATTGGGCACTTCAGAGATGTCAGAAATTAATTTTTCTTGTTTTGATGGATTTAGAAAAGTGACGGCAAGATTAAGACATATTTGGGTAAGGAGAATTAACTACATAGCACAAAAATTCTTATTCACTTTTGTACTTTTAAGAACCTTATGACTGATCTGTCAAGTGACAAACATGAGGTTCCATGCTTATTACAACACGCAAACATCAAATGGTTTCTGTATGTGTGGGGGTCTCTATATTCTATCAAGTGCACTGCTCATGGTGAAGGAGAGATTCTCCCTGGTCATCTAACCGGGGACCTGTCATGTCATCAGCGTGAGATTTCTTTGATGGACAACAACTGTGCCGTACGCTGACAAAACGCCTTTTTTTTTTCACTTTTGGCGCCAAGTTTTGTTGTTGTTTTGTTTTGTTGTGTTTTTTTTTTGGGGGGGGGGGTCAAAAGCCTGATCAGTTACCCTTCTTGTGTGAAAAAATCCACAAAGTGGAACTGGCTAGTTTTTTTATAAATTGGAATTCAATTTCAGAAGAACGCCTGTTTTAAATGGCTAGGCTGATAAAAAGCCTCTTTATTTTGAAATTACTGTGATTTTAAAAAAGGCGTTTTGTCAGTTTACGGCAGAACTGTCCTGTCAGTCCCAGACTGAGAGCTGATATCCCAAAACAGCAGCAACTCTTTCTGTTATGGTCATCTCTGTGTGAACTTTTATCTTTTGATGCACAAGCACAAATGTGGTAGCTGCTTAATAGACATATTATGTCCTAAATATATAGAGCTAACAAAATGCCTTGAATGATGCCATTTTGGCATTGATTGATTGATTGAAATGTGTAACACAATTAATGGCAGCAGTGTGTTTGATACCGCACGTGGCTGCATTGGCTTTTGAAGTATCCTGTGGACTCCCAGTGACCTTCTGTACTCTCAGGTTTTATTGTCTCTCTTGATATATCATATTGTAAAAAGACAATGTTTTTTACAATATTGTTGTTATTATTATTATTATCATTATTGTTATTATTCTTTTTGAATTTTGAAATGAGATGTGAAGAAACTTACTCCAGGGTGTTTTAAAAACTCTCTCCTCGGTGCTAACAGTGTTGTTGTCTCTGTACCCTTGTACAGTCATACCCGTATGCTTTTGGGGTTTTTTTCCTACTCACGTCCATTTTGCCTTTCTTGTTCTAAAATAGCTACAGTTTTAATAAGAATGTTTTTTACTTCACGTGATGTTGTGATTATTCTATTAATTTTTTTTTGTACACCACTTTTTCTGGTATTGTTTAACTTTTATTGTTGGCCTCCCTGGCCCTCTGGTTGTGTTCAGCCCAGACATGAGCTGTAGCAGCTCCCGGCGTTGGTAGAGAAAACGTTATTTTCCTATTTACTGGTTCAGCAGTAAGACTTTCAGGGGTGGAGGGGGCTCTAAACCTAATTACCAGGCAATGGTTCAGGTTAGTGAGATAATGTGTTTTGAGTACAAACTCTCACAACATGGAAACTGAAATGTTATTATTTAACCCAAAATGTTGACAGATATCGCTTAAGTTTTGATATGATTGGTTCTGTTTATGGCTTGTGAAGCCAACTCTTTGAACTGCCTTCCACAGCTGACCAGTTTGTGAATCTGTCATCATCCATCATGTTTTGGCCAGTTGTTATTAGAGGAGGGGGGGGGGGTTGAAATTCAAACTAGGACTGAATCAGAATGTTGCATTGATTTTTATTGAACAGAGTTTTATAATCAAAGAAAAAAAAACGTATGTCATGTCATTTTTAAAGTGACATTTTCTCTTTTGAAATATTTTTTGTCTTTCACTTTCTGTAAAATTCATGCCCTTTACTTTAATGTAAATTGTTCTTGTAGTTTTTTTGTCATAAAGAAGGAGATGAAGTCTTTTTGTCACATGCAGATGACTTTTTAAAAGTATTTTCATTGACTAGAACAATTTGACATAGAAAATAGTGGTCTTGGCAGGGTGAGCTATGTGTAATTGCGAAGATGAAGAAAAGTATGTGGCCCTGCATCTGCTCATACTGTTCTTATTAAGCCTGCACAGAATGCCTTGTATTGTAAGCTGCAAATATATTGCATAAACAGAAGATGTGCGGAAACAAAAGGGTGGGATTTTTTTGTAATGACAGACAACCATTTTGTTTCTTTTCCAGGTTAAAGTCAGACTAATAAGTAATTTCTCTTGTCATTCTGAGTTCTGTTCTCCTCATGGTCAAATGTATCAGTTAACAAAGCTATTTTTCATTAGATCATCATATATATATTATATATTACAGTAATGCAATTCATTGCGAATGAAATCTTAAACCTTTTTCCATCATCGGTGCTTGGAATAGTCTATATATGTATTTTATATTAATAATAATTTTACCAGTGCAAGAGTCACTAGCCAGTCTCAAACGTTTCCGATTTTTAGACTGATCAGTACATGTACCAAATAACAATAGATGTCACATCTATTTGACTATTCATGAATGAAGGGCTCATATTGCATGCATAATCGGCTTTGATAGAATTGTGGTTCAATGTAATGCCTGTGTATCTCTGGCTGAAGTTTTAGCTGGTGAGTTTAGGATTTGACAACATTTGTTAGTTAGAATCTAGATCCATTGCCTTCTACATAGCACATGGCATAACCACTTATAACAGCTTGAGTTTGTGTCCAGAGCAGCTCACT